TATCCCAGGCATTGAACATCTCACAAAGCTCTCTTATGAAACTTATTCAGTGTCTTGAATTTTGTCATAAAATAAACTCCAGGATAAGAAAACATTAATTCCAAGCGAGAAGGTCAGAATCTACAAACAAAACCCGATATAGCTTCTTCTTTTTTTTTCTTTTTTTTTTATTAATTGCTTTTCTGTTAGATTTGATAATAGTAACCCTTTAGCTCAATTGAACTGGAACAGTACAAAGTAAAAGACTCATTGTGAAAATACACATACTAGACATGTAACGATAAGGATGCTGGGAGCCGATCAATAAAATCAGTATCTGCCGATCACACCATCAAATCCTAAAATTCTTCATCTGCTGTCTAATGTACATTGAAATTGAATTATTATGTATCAAAATTATAGTAGATGAGAAAATATCATGAATTGACCAATATTGTAGTGAAGGAGGCACAGATACTGCTGAATTTATGTAATAGCTGTTTTGGGGAGATTATTTCTGTGTGGTTTTTAAAAAGAAAAATAGCCACTCAGAGGAAAAGTACCTGTTAGCCTCTAAACCAGTTGTATCGACTAAATAATCATTGTTGATGAGAATACAGACATGTTTTTGGTTCATAAAGTGAGATAAATAATAGTCTTTTCAAATTTTACCATTATAGTCAAGCATTTTTGGGTGAACTTAATGAATTCATCAATATTTTTCGAGAGATCCTCTAATAACACAGTTTAACCTCTGAGCAACATGTGTAAGATGATTTTAGCAATAGTTTGCCTTCTGTGTAGTTTATAATAAACTACACAGAAGGCAAACTATTGCTAAAATCATCTTACACATGTTGCTCAGTAGTTAAACTGTCTTATTGCTCTGGGGGCTCTGTATATCTCCCGTCTGCCTCCCTTGGTCGTACCCACCCCTTGCGCTCACAGGCCATTTTTCAGATTCCATAGCTGACAGAGAGTGACTGTGTCCGCAGAAACTTTTCTCAGTGGACCTGACGAAGCAGGGAAGGCTGTGCTTCCTGTCAGATGCAAACACAGACAATTTCCCTGTATTATCTTCTACATGTAACAAGCTTCCCTCTGATGCCTTGGCTCCTTAGCTTATTAGTCAAACAAAGTTAGAAAACTGCCAGTGTATCATTATGTTGTTTTTTCTATGCCAGACTAAAAGAATAGGGAAGCATGCAGCAAGCACAATGAGAAGAATGCCTCATCCTCCTAAACAAATGACTGCCGAGCAAAAACATTTTGATTTACAACTGAAGTCACGCTGAGTGAGACAGTTTTTATTTTCTGTATTCTTTTTAAAGCTTTGAACAGCAAATAGAAATGCGGCAGGCAATTGCTTGACTTTCTCTGCTGTTTTCGTGTGGAATGTTATATGCTCATATCTTTACATGTCCAACATATTTTGTTTACTGTTAGATGTGCAGGTATTCAGGAATGTTAGGGTATAATTAATGGCAACAGAGCTCTGAGTCATGCACTGCAGCGGTTTGCCCTGCAACTAGAGGGTTGGCGGTTTGAACCCCAGCTCTAGCTTTCTCTGTCAGTGTTCTTGGGCAAGATACTTCACCTGCGTTGCCTACTGATGGTAGTTAAGGTGCCTCACTTGTGTCAGCGCCACGGCAGCTCTGGCTTTAACGTAGCTTGCTACCATCAAAGTGTGAATGGGTGTTCGACTGAGTGTTGTGTAAAGTGCTTTGGATTCCTCTGACTTGAAAGGGCGGTATATAATTAAAGGCCATATGTTATGACATAAGCAGGTCTTGATGTTAAGGAATGCAGTTTTACAGATGTGAAATATTGTGTCAGAAAAAGTAAAGAGTTCTTGCACATATAGATCTGTATGGTGGGTTGTTGGGTGGATTGCAGCAGGAGTAGGGCTTGTATCCAGGGACAATGACACTCACCTTCAGATTGTGACTGGGCCTGTTCCTGGTTGCTAGGAGATGAATGGAAGCTACTAGCTTCTGCAGCTTGAATGCAACAAGTCTGTTAGCCCATTTAAAAGAATAGCCCAGCATCACATTCTTTCAGCAGGTAAATGTACTCACAGTTTAGGCTCATTGATCAGTGGATGTGAAGGCTATGCGCATTGCATAGCAACTATCTACTGTTACATGCTTTACTATGAGCTAAATTGTAAAATTTTACTCTTTAATTATATCATTTGAATTGCACATGTACACCAAGCTTTTGGATGATATACCTAACACATAAAATGGTGCTGTTCTTTCACCAATGATGCAGTGGTTGGAAAATTGTAGGCCATGGCTATAATTCTTACAGCCATGGCCTATAATTCTAGAAGGAGATTTATCAGCGTTTCACAGAAATAACTCTCTGCTTCACTACCTTCTGTCAAACATACCACCCCGATGAGGAGGAGGGAATATCTAGTGGGCCAAGACAATACTCTCCCCCAGTGCTTGTTGCAAATGTCTTCTGCAGGAAAATAAGGACGCCCCAGAAATTCCCCTCCGAGCTGGCATCTCACATGACCCATTTTCATTATGGCTGGTCTAATGGTTGGTGACTGGCTGCTGAGTGCTGAATGGAGAGAGGACAATGCATAGATGAGCACACACACATTGCAATGATACTGCTAGAGTTGAGCTAAAGCGTTAATAATGGTCAAACCTGAGACTTCTAGCCTATACCAGTTGGCCAAGGCGAGACGGAGTTTGGCTACTCGGAGAGAAAAGGCAGTGTTTGATTGAAAGGATTATAAATGGATGTTATGGCATTATCAGGAAAACTTGGAGGCCCGGCAGCATTATAGTACCATACTAAAAATGTAACATTTAGCCATAGGATAGAGTGATATAAAAGGAAGGAGATACTGTAGAGCCACTTAACCACAACTTTAGCCTAAGGGCTCCCTGGAGGCACTCATCTGATTTAGTTATTCTCAGTATCATAATAATAAACAACAATTCAATGAGAATATATAAAACTCAGTGTACAGTAGTCTGTGTTGTGATAAGTCCGCATCAGACACCAAGTCCTGCTCTGAGAATCCACAAACTCAGCTCAATATCTGTGTCCTCATCCAACCTTTATAGACATTTATAGAGAATGCCCTAACTAGGGGGGCTGTTAAAGCACAAGGAGAACTCCGGAGGGCTTATTCCTTATTAGAATTCCCTTATCAGTCTTTTTCATGGAGCGTAGGCTTGACATGTCGGTGTTTATTATGTGCTCTAGGAAATATTATTGACCAGGAACGTCTGCTCCCACTCTCCCTACTGCAGTTAGTGTCTCTCTGCTCTGCCACCCCCACATTCCTCAGATGTCCCGTCTGGATGTAATACAGGACACTGCGGAAAAGAGTGGAGCCTTCAACAGTGTCTTCATTGACACTTCACTTGGCTTAGGCTCTTCTTTTCAACTGCAGCTGCAGCGAACCTCTCACACACCTGCAGAGTAGTCAATCTGCCATTTCATTAGGTCTGATTGCAAATCTGTGTGGCAATCTTCTTTCTTACTTGCAGGGTAAAAATGCATAACAAGTGTTATTAGTTAGAATGTAGTTAGCCCACTAATTTGACAGTTTTAGTCTTGAGCTCAGACATTTTTATTCAACCAAGATATATAAGAGCATCCTTTAGATTACAAACGACACGGTACCTTATTTTATTTCCCTCACAGGCATAAAAACACAGTGAAAAAGTTGTAAAAAGCAATATATGTTTGTGGATTCTCCATATTTATCCAAGCATCTTATGTAGTGAGGGAAAGGTTTGTCTCCATCTCTTGCTCTATTGTACTAATAGTGACAATGACTGGCTTCCAGCCCATTTTGAAGTCAGACATCATTTTCTGGTTGAGGATCATGATCTGGGAGTAAAATGATCTCAATCTAAAACAATATTATCTGAAGTTAATCAGTTGAACTTTTTTGCAACACTGTAGAAGCAGCTTTACCTTTGGTTACAAAAGGACAGGATCACTCCCCACTATAAATACACTGAGGGAAATTATCTTATGCATTATCCAGAACCATATATAACCAAACTTCCAACAGCTTAATCTGGGTGATGATTTTATTTAATGTGGTAATAACTTTAACTGTGTTTGGCAATCAGATGGAGCCTCCTTTCAATCTCTGCAGAATGCTTTCTCTGGAAGGCTGTGAAGTGTAATGTTCAAGCAAAATACGCTTTCAAGTACCTGGATAGGTCTGCCATTCTTTAGACAAGGTGGACATGACTGGTCAGAAAAACACAACTGCTGTAACCTGCTGTTCATTCACTTTCAAAACCCACTGCTATACTGCTTGACTTTTTGCAATTTGCCTGCTTTAGTTGTTTATTTCTGGTGTACAGTGTTCCTACACCTACACAGGCAGTGTCCTGGAAACCCCTTGTTCCGCGTCTTGGCCTTGTTACAGAAATAGCTGGAGGAAAACAGCTGGTATCAGCTACATCAGTGGAATTTTGTGGAAGTGGAAGTTCTCTTTCCTGAGTTTGATAAAAGATTCAAGCAAATGCTCCTTCGGTAGATGTGGGTTTTATATTAAATTCTTTAAACTTTAAACTCAACACTAAACTGCTGGTGATTTTCTTTGAGATGCTTTTCAGATTTAATATTTAAAAGTTTTTTGTTTTTTTTCTGCCCCTCCCAGATGTCATAATATTTTTCTCAATGGGCTAGAAGAGACAGCACATTGTTGTCAAGAATTGTTAAAGTATTCTGCCATCTTGTGGACACGTGCGGTGTTACAGCTGTTTTTTTTTTTTTTTTTTCATCTTCCCTGACAGAGCTAATGAATGACCAGGATATGAGTGTGTTGTTCCATTGTGGTCCTCGTGAACTTTGCACCGATGAGCACATTCCTGAAAGCAGTCACAAATAAAGAAATATGCCTCAGATTGGTCTAAAGCTTTTGTTTCCCATGAATAGAACACTATACGACAGTCATGTTCTCATGAATCTTGATCGCAGACATGTCTGGCACTAAATTTAATATCCGTCTTCATTGTGTTTCATTGTAGGCACAATGGTCCCCCTTCTGTTTTTGGTGGCAACCACAACAATACCCAATACCAATAACACTGCCAATGACACCAACTCCAAAGGTAAGAATGATTGCAAGGGCCCCTCCGCTTTAACATGCAAGAATGTGCATGAAGATATAAAATCCCATTAGTGCTCGCTGCAGTCATCACTTTTGTCTGCGATAGTATTATTACCTATTTTCCGCTGTGAAAGCATCTTCTTGATAACAGTCTTCAGCTTTGTATTTACCAGATCACAATTAAGCATGCAGCACCACACAGTAATTTAAAGATTATTGTGAATTTCTATAAGAGAAAGGATAGCTGACAGGTGATACTGTCTTTGCTCTGAGAGCCTCTAATTTTCTGGCCAAGCTGATGAATATTATTGTTGACAAAATACTGACCAGAACTGTTATTAAACTGGCTCTGTGGCCTCAAAACTACACAGAGGCTACTTTGCTGTTGCAAGTATTTATTATATGAAGTCATGCAATGCATATTTGGACAGGTGAGTCTCACTAAATGAGATGGAAAAAAAGATCATTTTTATCTCAGTAAATGAGATGAAACTGAGATCAAAAATGTATATTATGTTGGAAAAAGTTGGAATTTTGCATTTAACTTCATTAGCTAGAGGGGAATTTTGCAAATGTTTGTGAATTTTTATGATTGGCGTACAACAAAAGAAAACCCAAGTTATAGCTTCTTAGATGTCAGTAATGCATGAAACTTATAAAAGAATAAAAAAGTTATAGATATATATATATATATATATATATAATA